AAATCCTGCTGCAGAGTTCAGTGTGTCACCACTGTGTTTTGCCTGTTGTTCCAGGATTCCCTAACTTGTTCCAATCAAACCTACAATATCAACCTGTACCTGGTTGAGACTGGCCAAAGGCTGTTGGATACCACAATTACCTTCACCCTGGAGCAGGGAGGTGCCAAGCCACAGCAGGTGAGCAGGGAGAGGTTGTTTCAGCCCTGAGGTGGTTTGGCAGATGGGTAGAGCCCTTCAGGCAAGGGGAAAAGCAGGATGGGGCTTAGTGCAGCACACTGTGTGCTCTGGTGTCACCTGAGTTCTGTTTTCCCTAAGAAAATGATGTGATCCTTAACCTCACTGTTCTCCTTGCTGGTTTTTTTTTCCTCCCAGCTCTACATCCAGGTGTTCCTGAAGAAGGATGACTCTGTGGGCTATCGAGCCTTGGTGCAAATGGAAGACCACATGCTCCTGTTCCTCCAGCAGCCAGGTAGCTTCCACACACAGCTTCCTCCACTTCTAGCAGTGACCAGCAGAAAATTCCAAGTCCTAAAGGATTAAATTTGTCACTGGAAACTGACAGAATGAAAGACACAGGAGACTTTGACCCTCACAAGACATCTCACCTGAGCAAACAGTTCAGCAATGTTCTTGCTGTAGGCAGAGCCTGTGAATTTTGGGGGGTTCCTGCAGATTTCAGAACTCTTTGAAGGGTGAGAGTTTAAGTCCTGGTGTAGATCTGCCTCAGTTTCTTCAGGAATGATACAGCTTGTTAATTTGCAGAAAGGGTTGACAGTGACATGGATTTTCTGGGGTGGTGAAGGAATCCAGGAGATCACACTGTGAATCTTTGGCTGTAAACAAACTTAATGACTGTAACCTTTTAAAACCCCAAATTACTTGGACTGATCCTGTGGTTTTCTTCCCAAAAGTGGCTTTGGTTGCATAAAGTATTAATCTTTTATGAAATAGCTAATTACTATTAGATAGTGACCCACTATTTTGCCTTTCATTAAGAAGTGATTTGCATCTGAAGAGCCACTGGAACATACTCCTGGATGGAGTGAGTGTGTTCGCAGGTATGAAGTTGATTTTTCCAATATTCTGCCCCTGTTTTTTTCCAGGAAAAGTTGTGTGGAGTAGAGAGGAGTCACTAGCAGAGGTGGTGAGCTTGGAGATGGTGGATCTGCCTCTGACAGGGGCCCAGGCTGAGCTGGAGGGAGAGTTTGGAAAGAAAGCAGGTGAGCTTAGCAAGGACATCTGAGAGTTTGAATTTCTTCCTGTAGAAGATGTATTTATTGTTTCCTGTTTACTCTGAGCTGCTGAATTCAAATCTCTACCGGTGGCAGTTAAAATGAGCAGAAATAAACCCTTTTCTGTCCAAACTGTTGAAGTCCAATGCCAAGTGCAGATGACATGAGCACATTACACTGTCCAGTCAGCAGTGCTGGGAGGGATTTTGGCCATCTCTTCTGTATGTTTCCTTTGACTCTTTCTGGAAGACTCATTTCCAATAGCCTTTTTTTGTTTTTTTTGCTTTGTTTTGTCTTTCCTTGCTGTCCTGGATGCAGCCATTCAAGGTAACCTCACTGCATGCAGTGTGTCCTGCCCCTGACTAATGCTTCCTGGTGCCACTGGTCCCCTCTGCTTGCTCTCCTCAGGGGCGAACAGACTTCAAGTCTGGTGTTTTGGTTACTTCAAGCTAAATATAAGCCCTGATAGGGCAGAATTAAGTGGGTTTTTACTTCAGGGGCTTCTCATGCTCTGAGTATTGAGTGCAGAGGGAAGTGCAGCCCTCAGAGGTGGGTGAGGTTTAGGTGAGCACTTGCTGTGTGTGTGCCAAAAGAAGCCCAAAGTCCTGTGCATGAAGGTGTCCTGTGCAGCTGTGGGATGAGTGTGAAGTGGGAGAAGGTTGGTAAATGCCACAGTCTGTCATAGAAATGGTAACTATAACTTATTTCAGATTGGGAGGCAAAGAGTTACCCTAGGTTTGTGCATGGCAACATTCCTGGCCAACACCATAATTCCAGTTGTGGGGTGGGACATGTGTTTTCCCTCCTGTTGTCACTCTCGGTGTCACTTGCAGATGGTTTGCTGGGGATGTTTCTGAAGAGACTGTCCTCCCAGCTCATCCTGCTGCAAGCCTGGACTGCTCACCTGTGGAAGATGTTCTATGATGCCAGGAAGCCCAGGAGCCAGATTAAGAATGAGATCAACATTGACAACTTGGCCAGAGATGAGTTCAACCTCCAGAAAATGATGGTGATGGTCACTGCCTCAGGAAAGGTGAGGAAGTCAGGGTAGGAATCTGTGTCTGGACTGTAGCAAAGAGTCTCAGCTCTGAATTCCCTGATTTTAGCCAGGTTTGGGCAGAATGAGGTGAGAAGATGCACAGAATGTTTTGTGGTGGCTTCAAAGAGGGACTGAGCCTCTTCTCTCTTTGTTGTGTCCCAAAGAAAGATGCAGTACTTGAATGTGAGAGATGTGTTTCTCTAAACTTTGCCTTTCCTGTGTCTCTTTGCTCAGCTTTTTGGCATTGAAAGCAGTTCTGGCACCATCCTGTGGAAGCAATATCTGAGGAATGTGAGACCAGGCTCCTCCTTCAAGCTGATGGTGCAAAGAACAACAGCCCATTTCCCACACCCCCCTCAGTGCACTCTGCTCGTGAAGGACAAGGTCAGGCCCTTTTCCCTGCCCCTCCACGGGCTTAGCATGGAAATCTGCCCTTGGAAAGGCATCACCTGGTTATCCCTGACGTGGGGGTGGGAGGAGAGAGAGATCTGAAGGGAAGCAGAGAAACAAGCCTAAAAACCTTCAGAATGATCATGGTTTTGGTGGACAGATGTGGAATAGAGAATATGGGTGTCCAAGCAGAAGATTTTCAGGATGGAATAGCTGAATCCAGGGAGAAAAACACCTCTTTTTTTCTGCCTTAATAAAAGTTTTTCTTCTTGTTTGTTCTTCAGGAAACCAAAATGAGCTTTCTGTATGTCTTTAACCCCATCTTTGGGAAGAAAAGCCAAGTTGCTCCCCCTGTTCTGAAACGTCCAATCCTCCAGACTCTGCTCCTGCCTATTATGGATCAAGACTATGCCAAAGTCCTGCTCCTGATTGATGATGAGTACAAGGTAAATTGCTTTGCCTGGAGGCAGTTTTCTTCATAGTCTGGTTAATTATTCCCCTCCTTTTTGGAGCAAGATAGAAAAAATGCCATTGGGTCACATTTCACATGAAAATATGAGGTTATTCTGGTAAGACAGATCTCATCCTGATAGAGGCATGCTTGAAGTAATCTTTCTGGTTCATTTTGGGGGTTTTTTTTGTTGTTTTCTTTTTCTGTGTCAGTTGGTTTTAACCTGTGTTTCAATTCTTCTTTTCCAGGTCATACCTTTCCCAGCCACTAAAAATGTCCTGCGCCAGTTAGAAGAAATAGCTCATTCCATCTATTTTTATCTAGTTGATGCTGAGCAGGGAAAACTCTCTGGATTCAGGCTGAAAAAGGTATGGAAGTCTAATCATTACAGTCCAAGTGACATCACCTTCCTCAGTGTCCTCTGGATAATGATAGATCTCTGTTTAGCTTATGGAGTTTTGCTCAGAATAGCCTCAAAATGTGCCTGAGGAACTTTTTAGATTCAAGAGCAGAGATCTCAGTGGGGGAGCTGGTGTCTGTTGAGGGCAAGATCAAACCTCCCACATGCTTTGTCCTTGCAGGACCTGACCACAGAGGAGAGCTGGGAGGTGGTGATCCCCACGGAGGTGCAGAGGATAGTGTCTGTGAAGGGGAAGAGGTCCAACGAGCACGTGCACTCGCAGGGCCGCGTGATGGGAGACCGCAGTGTCCTCTACAAGGTGCTGGACAACCTTCTGTTGGCTTTCTGTTGTTGCATTATCCCATGGGAACATCTCAGGACCATTTCCAGGCACTAGGAACCTGTTCAAGGCCAGGTTGGATGAAGCCTTGAGCAATCTGCTCTGGTGGGAGGTGTCCCTGCCCAGGGCAGGGGTTGGGGCTGGGTGATCTCTAAGCTCCATTCCAACCCCTGAACATACTGTGATACACTCTGCTGAGATTAACTATTCTGTGCTGCCATGTTTCCCCATAATCCTCAGTAGAAGATGCTAATTTTGGTGGAGATTTCTATTCTAAAGGGTTTTCCTGCAGCAGTTCAGTCAAACACCTGATGTTGGGGAAATAGCTGCTTGATTCCTTTAGGTGATTTGTGCTAATAACTGTTCATTACATGCCCAGGGGCAGATGAGCTGCAGAACTGAGGTGCCTGTGGCACTAGGGTGGGGTCTGAGTTGTTTCTCTTTGCCTCCAGTCCCTGAATCCCAACCTGCTGGCTGTGGTGACAGAGAGCACAGATACACACCACGAGCGCACGTTCATCGGGATCTACCTGATCGACGGGGTCACAGGCAGGATCATCCACTCCTCAGTGCAGAAGAAGGCCAAGGGACCTGTCCACATCGTTCACTCAGAGAACTGGGTGGTGGTAAGGACTTACTCTTGTCTTGCTCTTTACATTTGGGTGGTCAGGGCAGATCCTGAGCCTGCATGGAGGAGCTTTTTGACCATTCTCTCAGTTCCTGCTCCCTCTGCATTATTGACTCTGCTTGGCTCAGATTCAGATTAGATGTTAGGAAAATTTTCTCCCTGCCAGGATGTTCAGGCACTGGAATATTGCCCAGGGAGGTGGTGGAGCCACCATCCCTGGAGATGTTTAAGAGGTGTCTGGATCTAGTGCTGGAGGATCTGGTTTAGGGGTTCCAGCAGTGACAGTTAATGATTGGACTTGATGATCTAAGAGATCTCCTCCAGCCTTGGTGATTCCATGACTCTATGCTCCTGAACCTCTCCCCTTACTGCAGTACCAGTACTGGAACACGAAGGCTCGTCGGAATGAGTTCACTGTGCTGGAGCTGTACGAGGGCACAGAGCAATACAATGCCACAGCCTTCAGCTCCCTCGACCGCCCCATCCTGCCTCAGGTTCTCCAGCAATCCTACATCTTCCCTTCTGCCATCAGTGCCATGGAGGCCACCATCACCGAGCGCGGCATCACCAGCCGCCACCTGCTCGGTAGGTACCTGATCAAGGGGTTTGTGCCACCTGCACCAGCACTGGAGTCCAAGCAAAATGCAGTTTGCTGCCAAAAGTGATGCCTGTGGCATGTCCTGGACTCCTGCAAGTGCAAGGAGAAGCACCCAGAGAGCATTTCTGTTGGCTGTTAGAAAATGCTGTCAGAAATGGCTGTTGGGTGTCAGAGGATGTGCCAGACTCTGTTCCGTGGTGCTCAGTGACAGGGTGAGGAGCAGTGACCATAAACTAACCCACAACAAGTTTCACCTCAACGTAAGGGAGAACTTCTTTCCATGGAGGGTGGTAGAGCACTGGAACAGCTGCTACCCAGGGAGGGCATGGAATCTCCTCTGGACACATCCCAGACCCACCTGGACACATCCCTGTGTCACCTGCTCCAGGTGACCCTGCATTGGCAGGGGTTTGGACTGGATAATCTCCAGAGATCCCTTCCAACCCTAAGGATTCTGTGAGTTTTAAAATGCTTTTCTTTTGATGCACAGTTGGGCTTCCCTCTGGGGCAATCCTGTCCCTTCCTAAGGCTCTGCTGGATCCTCGGCGCCCAGAGATCCCCACGGAACAGAGCAGGTGAGGAAAGCACAACCACCACTCCTGGGCTGTGAAGAGGGATGGATTTTGTGTGTAATACAGTGGTGTGAAGTGGAACAACTTGTGCTGGATGGATTCAGGACAGTCTTTGCATGGAATGAAGAAGGGAGGTTGGTTCAGGTCAGAGCTTGGACTCGGTTTTAGAAGTCTTTTCCAGCCTAAATGATTGTGTGATTCTGTTCCCAGTCAGTGACAATGGGAGACATTTGTCTGTGATACAGCAGGTCAGTCATTAAAAAACAGCTTGTCTGCTCTGTTAAGAAGCAGCAGAATAGTTGAATATTTTAGAATTACACTTGTAAAACTTGAGAAGCCTGAGGAGGCTGCTGCAGCGTAGCCTAACCCAGCTGATGTGTTTGATTTTCATCCTGCACCAAAAATGAATCTGCACTGGGAAAAGCTTCGGGTCAGCCTGAGCTAATCAGACTAGGAGACCGAGATGTTATCCCCTCGTGCTGTTTGATTGGGATTTGACTTCTCTTTCAATGCCTTTCAGAGAGGAGAACCTGATTCCATACTCCCCTGATGTGCAGATCCATGCTGAAAGGTTCATCAACTACAACCAGACCATATCCAGGATGAGGGGGATTTACACAGCTCCCTCTGGCCTTGAGTCCACGTGTTTGGTGAGTGCAGGGCCGAGGCCTCAGTGTGGACACTTGGAGTTTGGGGGTAGGTCCAGACCCACAGCCTGTGGCAGGGAGCTCTGTAATTCCCATAATGTGGGACAATATGAGCTTGAACATTCCTTCTTGTAAGGAGAGCTCTAACCCTGAGTGGCTGATTTAGATGTCTGATGCTCCAAGCTGCCTCACAGCTCATCCTCTCACCCTGCAGGTTGTTGCCTATGGCCTGGACATCTACCAGACCCGTGTGTACCCCTCGAAGCAGTTTGATGTCCTCAAGGATGACTATGACTATGTGCTGATCAGCAGTGTCCTCTTTGGGCTGGTCTTTGCCACCATGATCACCCTGAGTGGCTGATTTAGATGTCTGATGCTCCAAGCTGCCTCACAGCTCATCCTCTCACCCTGCAGGTTGTTGCCTATGGCCTGGACATCTACCAGACCCGTGTGTACCCCTCGAAGCAGTTTGATGTCCTCAAGGATGACTATGACTATGTGCTGATCAGCAGTGTCCTCTTTGGGCTGGTCTTTGCCACCATGATCACCAATGGCTCAGGTTAACCGTGCCTGGCGCTAGGGCTGTGGCTGGAGAAGGCAGCTGGGATGGGCACTGGCTGGAGATCTGCACCCTGTGCTGCTACAGAGATGCAAACATCTGTTTTACATTTTGCTGGAAGATACCTGTGAGGAAAAGCAGCAGCTGGTGGAACAAAACACACATTGCCTACGTGTCTCCCATGAGGAGAAGTGGAAGAGAGTCTGTTCTGACTGAAAAAGAACCTCCCATACCTCCCTTAAAGCCCTAAAATCCCATTGTCTCCCTGATGCTGGTGAAAATAACACTAAGGACATGTGTCTTCTCCACGCTCACAGCTGTGGCTCACATCTGGACAAGAGGAGGGGTGAGGGTTGTTGGGGCTGTGCTCTGAGTGCTGGAGTGGGTAAGGTGTGAGCTACTGTGTGTGAGGCCTGAGGAGGAGGAGACATTGGGTCTTTTAGATAGGAGAAAGGTTAAAAATCATGTGGGTGTCAGTGGGAAACAGCCTCATGGAGTCACTTGAAGCTGCAGGGCCGTGGGAGGAATTTGAATGTAAAGTCTCTCCATATTCTGTATTTATTTTGATGAGAACATCACTTCCTTCCCATCTGTTTTTAAATTTCCCTGTAGTTTCTGTCCAACACTGGCGTTAAGTTGTCCTGGCTCAGGACAAGGAACCTCGTGGCGTTTCCCTCAGGATCACAGCTCAGCTCTTTCTATGTGAATTTAAATTGTCCTAATCAAGTTTGGCAGTGAATTCTTCCCCCATGAGAGGCTGTGTCCCACCCAGCCTCTCCCACAGCCTGCAGCCCACCTCAATAAAGCTGTGTGCTGCCTGGGGAGAGCTGCTTAAGTGTGTTTTGGGGGCTCTGTGGAAGTGCTGCCCTCGAGGCAGGGCAGGGGGAAAGGTATGTGGATACCAAACCACCTCAATAAAGTCTTGTGCTGAGGAACAGCAAATGTTTTGGGGCTATTTCAGTGGGTTTTGGGAGCTCTTGAAGTACTACCCCTGAGGCAGCCCCTGGAGCACTCTTGAAGTGCTTTTTGGGGCTCTGTGGCAGTGCTGCCCCCGAGGCAAAGCACTGCCACGGGACAGGGCACAGGCACAGCCAGACCAACTCAATAAAGCTTTGTGCTGCAGAGTAGTGAGGGGTTTGGGGTTGTTTTAAGTGTGTTTTTCTGTGACCCTTCAAGAGCTGCCCCTGGGGCACGATTGAAGTGGTTTTTTGGGCTCTGTTGAAGCTCTGCCCCTGAGGCAGAGTGTGGGTACTGGGCACGGGGTGGCC